GCTTCTTCATCTGAAGAAACGACGTAAAGCGAAGCGGAAGGACCGAACGTCTCTTCGTCGAGGATACGGGATGAAGGCGAGGGATTGACGATGATCGTAGGTTTGAGCGCAAGCCCACCCCCAGGAGAAGTAGCCTCAACCCCACCAACAAGCACCTCATCGCCCTTCTCTTGCGCATCCCTTATAACATCCGCAGCATGCTTCTTAATACCCTCAGACACCGCGGACCCAGCCGGTCCTTCCACCCCTTTCATAGCCTCCACAAGCAACGTCTTAAACCTCTCCGCCACCGCCTCCATCACAATAATCCTCTCAGTACTAAAGCAAATCTGCCCATGATTCAACACAGCCCCCATCCCGCACTGCTTTGCTGCCTCCTCCAGATTCGCATCTTCAAGCACAATCGCCGGACACTTCCCGCCTAGTTCCATCAGAACCGGTTTGAGATACTTGGCCGCGATGCCCATGATCTTCTTCCCCACCTCCGCACTACCGATGAATTCAATCTTACGAATCGCATCATGCGCTATCAACGTCTCGGTCACTTCAGCCGCATCTTCCCGCCCACATTGCACCTGGTTCAACACGCCATCTGGACAGCTACTCTCAGCGAAAGCTTGCGTAATGAGTCCGTGGGTTTGGGGACACAGTTCACTCGCTTTGAAGACTACGGTGCAGCCAACTGCTATGGCACTTGCTATCCCTCTCGTTGCTAACACGAGTGCGGCATTCCAGGGCGCAATACATAGGATTGGTCCGATCGGCTCTTTAAACACAAAACCCTGGGTGTTGGGTTTCTCAGTCGGGGGGATAACGCCGGTCACGCTGCTTATCTGCGCGGCGATTTCGTTGAGGTACGAGATGGATAGATTGACGTTTGTACGCGCCCAGGCTTCTGTGCAGGAGGTTTCGGCGATTTGCGCGGCGATGAGAGAGGGGGCGTGGGTGTCGTAGTAGGTGGCTACGCTTTGGAGGAGATTGCGACGGGTGGTGTGGGAGGTGGAGCGCCAGGATTTGAAAGCGGAGAAGGAAGAGATGGCTGCTTGGGTTGCTTCGGTGGTGGAGGCGGAGGAGGCGTGGTGGATGGTTTTGGAGGTGCTGGCTTGGGTCACGGGAATGGTGGTTTGCGTGTGGATGGGCTTGTTGTCGATCCAGAGGGGGACTGTGGACGAGGTGTTTGAGGCCATGGTGAACAAATCCCAATATTCCAAACTCCACTGGTCTTGTTTCTTCAGATTGGATACATAAAAGATATATTGGAGTAGGCGGGCGGGAATGCATCTCACGGGCGTGTTGGCATCATCAATCAGTGCAAGGCGAACATTACGTCATCGCGAAGCCGAGTCGATCATTCTTCGGCAGATGTCGCAGCACTGCGCAAGACACACATTGCTTCGATTCGAACGTCGCGTGAGCCGCTCGAGCCAGGTGCGACACTCGTAATCTATCGCGACGGCTGTTTCCTCGCGGTCATCTTCTGCTGTTGCCGTGGAAAGGCTGCACAGGTGGTGAAAGGAGCGGCTGCGGCTGCGGGTGGCTGGTAGGCTGGCAGCCCTGGGCGCTTCGGAGATATGCACCCAGCTAAGCTCAAGCACCGTCTTCATTTCCTGCACCAACGCCCCTGGAATCGTCCATGGACTTGGGGGCGATGTGTACCTACTCAAATCTACCTACGGCATCCCGAAGTCCCTTATTTGAGAGACAGCATTTGCGAAGCCATACAATCATGCGGGCCGGCCCCCAATAGCCTCCTTGATAGCATCGTGAACCGAAGCCAACCTGAAATAGTCAACAATACAGTTTCGCTCAAGCCACGTTTCCTTGGCTGCCCCTGCATGTGTTGTGGTCTACACCGTTAATAGACATGTTGCAGCGCGTCTCTCCGCCGTATCTATCCTTTTCGCAGAACCCGAGGTTTATTATGCTTTGTTGATAGGCATCAATTGTCATGGCCCATGGCTCCGCCGCAGCGCCATACCATTCGTTACCTATACCTCCAAGCTCGAAGTGCATACGCGTTCTCGATGTCGATGGAGCGTCGACTGAAGCAGCCGCTGTAGTCGGTCATCTCCGCATCGTGGATCTAGAGACCTCTCCCGACTTTACCGCCATCTCTTACGTCTGGGGCTCACCGAAAGACAATCGAACTATTACATGCAACGGCGTGGACATCGTCGTCTCTGTCAATGGCTATTCAGCGCTACAGCACCTACGCACGCGATTTGGCGCTTTTACGATATGGATTGATGCGATCTGCATCGACCAGAAGAACACGAAGGAAAAGGAACACCAGATTCCGCTGATGGGAGATGTATACTCGCGAGCAGCAACTGTGTACGTGTGGCTCGGCGAAGGTAACGAGAAAACCGATCGCGCAATTGAATATATGGAAACCGCTGGCTTCTTGGACTACTTCCAGGCGTTGGGTGGTGATACCAAAACCCCCGGAGCTGATTATGGGCGCCCATTTCTCGCAGCCTTTTCTGCTACTATAGCACGTTGGAGCTTGACAAGGCACCCTTTCGTGTTTCATGGTAAGCGTCATAACCTCGAACTCGTATCTACGCTGACTTGAGAAGATTCTGTCGGAACATGGCGAGGCCCGCTGAGTCCTTACATACTGCGATTGTTCAATAGAGAAACAAAATACGCAACCGAAGCGGACCTTTTGGATCTGCTACAGCGGACTTGGATCAGTAGACTCTGGACCTACCAAGAGATCCTTCTCGCCTCCAACCCGATTATAGTTTGCGGCAGCACTCATATCTGCTGGGACAGATTCGCAATCAGTCTGGTCTTTTTGGCTACTGCGAGCCCTCGTCTCGGGTCTTACATGTGCCCTTGGAAGAGAGTTGCTATGAGTAGGCAAGACATGAATCCGGAGTGCACAACTTCAGATCCTGCGCGCGACTCCTCTTTGGAAGTCTATGCAGAATTTTCGAGACGCATGTGTCGACTTCACCGCCTAACCGATCGAGCAACTTTCTACTTCCTCGGGTTGTTACTCGTTTTCCTGCTCTGGTCCGCCTTGCTTGGTTCCGATCCTCATGAGCGCAAAGTAATTCTGGCCGTTTCGTTGACAGCCGTCTTCATCATTCTCGTGATGATGGTACGCCTGGTCTTATTATCATCCCCGCGCGTTTTGTACCGCAATGGAGAACGCCAAACCAACGTGAACGATCTCATTGACGGTGTTTACACCCGAGATGCTGCAGTGTCCAAAGACATGGCCTTTGGCCTTTGGGCTATCTTGCAACGTCGCACCCGGCATCCTCTTCCCCAGGTAGATTATGGAGAATCCAAGGAAGCGATCTACTTTTCGTTCTCTCGGCTTCTGGTCCAGATAACAGGGTCACCCCATCTAGTCCTGATCGCTGCAATGAACAACATGAAGGGGCAGCCGTCTTGGGTACCGGATTGGACGCCCAATGAATACCGAGAGAACAAATGGGGTGATATCGAAAGACTCATTCGCTCTAATCACGTCACCAGCGGTGAGAAGAGCTCGTGTCCGTTCGGCACCAGCAAACATTGCGATTTTGGTGATGTTGACCGGACACGAGTTCTTGCTACCCCTGGTGAAGTTGCAGACGACAAGGATCGCCAAAATCTAGGCAATATACGTATCTCTATGGTGGGCGATCATGCGATATCAATCCATGGCCGTCGACAAGGCGTAGTCGTTGCAACCTTCGACTTCTACAAGACTCAGTCGACATACCAGCAGGCCGAATATCGTAAACACATTCACAATCTGGGACGACTGCTTCAGATTCTCGAGATAACGAACATGAATTTACCATTCTATGGACACATCGGCACTTTCGCTCAATTCGACTGTTGGGAACGCTTCATATGCAGACACAGACGCAAGGAGGTCCCAGCGCTTTTATCCCTTTTGCGAGATGGCTCGAGTTGGGGAACTTCAAAGGCCACAGAACTTGATTTACTCAGAACCCATATCGCCGTGTGCAATGCTCTAGCAGACGACTCAACAATACTGTTCCAGGGGTCCAACCCGGGACCGCTCGGACGTGCCAGCATAGGCGAGTGTCGACGAAATGTCAAGCCAGGTGATCTCATTATCCGATGTCCAGGTGTCGAGATACCGATAATTGTCCGCCCCTGTTCTGATGGTAGGAACGGCGTTCAAATTAAGAGCATCGCGTTTTCTCCTCAATGGTCGAATCAAACGAAGTTTCGCGAGCGACTGCGTCATATGTGCTCAAGGAAGTTGCAGGCTAGCGAACCTGAGCTTGAAGAGTTTCACGTGTATTAGAGCTTTGTTGGCTGTTTACGGAAAAAGCTTGCATTATGCGAGTTGTACTCAGCGTCAAAGAAGATACACCCTCAATTTGAGACATATATCTGACAAGTGCTCTGAAGACTTCACCGATCAACCAGGATTAGCAATATCGACAAGGTGTTGTTCAGGTATTAACAGCATTGTGTGCGAATGTTAACAGCGCATTCATCAAATCAGTGGATCTGAGATTGAGATGAGGCATTGGAGGTTGTGGCCGTGTGCTGTTTCGCGATTGGTCCGAATTAGGCAACTCCACAAAAGCCGTCGATTGCGGGTGTCTAGTAAGTTACCACGCGCCTTCTGAACGCAGCTGCGCCCAACACCAACTTTGTCACCACACCGTCCCTCTCCACACCCATCTGAACAATCACTATAATCTGGTACAAGAGAAGTGCTTTGCAAGCCTGCGCCTAATACGGAAGATTACAAACACACATTGATTATAGATCAACGTCGTCGCTGGATCCTGCGGCAACATTCCCGTCGACTTCCGCCCTTCTGCGCAGCCATGCGCCCTCGCCCATCGCGCGAGGGCTGAGCCGCGAAGATTGTAGAACGCCTCATGATGACATAGCCAGGGGGCTTCATGGTCACTTGGGACTGCTATAATGATGGCTAACCTCTGAATAACTTACACAGCTAGGCCTTCCGTCTGCAAGTCGCTCCAGGAGCCCTTCGCCTCGAACCTGTCAGGATGAAGCAGAAGACGCTCGAATGGGCTGGCCATCCCGCCGACTGGTGCACAGCCTGTATGGGCGAGTTGCCAGAAACACACGAGGACCTGCCCTTCGGCTTCCTTACCCTTCCTTCCGAACCTGCGATGAATGCCGCTGGCCGGACTTCAGACCACCCGTTCAGAGACCTCCGCTCAGCCCGTCGCGTACGCCAACGATCGAAGAGATACCCCGAGCGCATCTACAGCGGCAACAAGCGTCGTCGCAACGACCGATATCGCCTCGCACGAGAGAACCAGCTTCGGCACGAGTACAAACAGGCAGACATTCAGGAATGGGAGGACGACTGCTACGATAGATGGGCACATGAAGTAGACATGGAGCATATGGACGACATAGAAGCCTACGAACTCTTTGGCAAGAATGCCCACATCTTCGAGGGCACAGCCACCGGGGACATTATAACAGGCGAGGACTTTGGAACCTGGGCTCGGCGTCGCATCGCAGAGATGCGGCACGTCAAAGAACGCCGTATACATATCTACGGCGAACCCACGAGCCCCGCGCCGCTGATCATCCTCCCACACACCATGCGCGACGGCAGGCGACCCGGTCGCGTCAGCGCCACCATCCCTACCGCGCCTTTCGCAAAACCTCACGAAACAACCCTCCCCACCTCCCTCTCCGAGATCCGCGCCCACTCCACACTAGCCTGCATTCTCACACTTCCTAAAATCCTCAAACAACGCTGCTGTAGCCGCAACGAACCCGCTCTACCCGTGATACCAGGCTTCTGGTGGTGGGGCGAGTATACCTGGCAGTGGCATAGGAACTTGTCTGGGTGTTGGTTCCTTGGCTGCGGATATGAATGCTCGGAGGTGGGTGGGGGGACTTGTACTTGTTCGTGTTGGTGCACTTTGGATCGGGAGTGTGCTTGTGCGGAGTTTGGGGTGGGGACGGAGTGGGAGGTTCCGGCGCCGGAGGAGGTGCAGAGGTGTAGTCTTGTTGAGTGGGCTAGCGGGGAGTTGATGGGGAGGATAGAGGCGGATGAGATTGTTTTGCAGAGGCAGCGAGAGAGGATGGAGGATGAGAGACTGAAAGAGAACGACCGGGGTTGGGATAGCGATCTCAGTGACTGGGGTGATGACTCGCAAGATGGATATGTGATACTGGGGGAAGAGCAGGATGGAAGTGAGACATGGAGTATTGTTAGTGGAGTAGACGAGGATTGCTTTGATGCTCATGACATTGTACGCGTTGGTCAGAAAGCATAGGGCATCATACCAGCCGTGCAAATGCATCTTGGTGAACAATAGTCTAGTTCGGTGTATCGATGATCCTCATACATGCAGGTTATCAAACGTCTAACTTCTTCTCATCAAGCACACCACCCCTCATCTTCTCCATCCTCTCAGCAGCTTTCCTCTTCTTCGCATCAACTCTCTCCCTATCCTCCCTCATCTGCCTGATCAAGGCGCTCTTTTCCCGGATCTTATGTCCATAGAGGTAAAAGACTACCGGAATGGGTATGAGCGCAAACTCGATCAGCGACAGCATTGTAGCACTCCAATGTGGGCCAAGACTTTGATACATCTTTGGACCTGCGAGGGGAAGAGCACCACCCATGGCGGATCGTAGGACGGCGTTTCCAGCGAGAGCGGACGCGGCGTAGATGCCGTAGGAGTGAACGAGGTAGTTTGACGCGTAGATGAAGACGCCGCAGTTTCCGGCGCCGAAGGGGATGCCGGCGATGAGGGGGAAAATCCAGTGGACGTTGGGAGTGCATGTCCTGTAATCATGTTAGTACAGACGACATCTAGATGGGGAGGGATACACACCAAGCAAAGATCATCTCGCCCACGGGAACCAATACCGCGGCGATGACAACCACACTGACCATAGCCTCTGGGTATGGCTTGCCAGTCTCTGGATCCTTCTTGTGGCTGTTGATCATGCGGCGAAGCAGAGGCTCCGAAGCTATCGTGATGACACCGCCAATACCGATACCCATATAACCCAGTCCAACGAGTCCAGGCGACCAACCTCGTAGCTCACCAAAAACGATGGGGTACGAAACGAAGCACAGATACAAGACTCCGTAGACCAATGCTATGTATACGTCCCAGAAGATGCAAATCGGTTCGTTGACCGCCATACTAAGCGGCCTGTAGAGGTTCTCCCGTAGTAAAGGCCAGAAAGCCTTCTTCTCATCGTAGCGAGAGTAGTATCGGGGGTCAGACGTTTCTTTACGCTTCTTGGCTGACTTGGCGCGGAGGATTGCTGGTTTGTACGTTTCTGGGATCAGAAAGACCATGAACCAGGATGCGCCAGAGCCGATCATGACAACCCAGTTCGTCCACCGCCAGCCTAGGGCTTGGAAGACGAAGCCACCAACGAGAGGGCCGAAGACAGGTCCGTTCATTGGCCCTAGAGACCATATCGAAAAAGCCAATGCGCGATAGTCTTCCTTGGATATGTCGGAGACGGTGCCTGGAGCATTGGAAATCATAGCCGCGCCCGCGATGGCACCGAAGAAGCGCATGACGAGGATCTGAGCTAGGTTGTTCGACAGAGCGCATGGTATGACGAGGATGGTGAAAGATGCGACAGCGATAAGGTAGACGGGTCTCCTGCCATACATCTCACTAAGCGGTGCCAGTAGCAGTGATCCAATCGCCAGACCGCACAAGTAGGTCGTTATCCCCAAGATCACTAACGTCTTCGACTGAATGCCAAATGTTGCCATCATGCCCGGTATGCCGCTTGTATAACTTGTCGAGTACATAACTACGACCAGTGTTGAAAAGCTCATGAAGAAGATGACAACAGCCTTCCTCAACATGGACCAGTCTTCCGGGTCTTCTCCATCCTCGAAGTCAATTTCGAAGCGCGGGTCTTGCGTCGCGTTCGTTGTGACAGTCGCAATCGCATCCTCCTTATCGCCAGGCCAGGAGTGCCCTGTATTCCTACTCCATGTATGATGTATCGACGGACGTTGATCTACTGCCGAGTTGATCGAATCGGAATGCGTCGACGCTGAGGATATGGAGGCGCGGTCCTCTTCGATTTCGACGTCCTCGATTACGCGGGACTTGTCTGAAGTGTATGACTTGGGTGACGGCGGAGTGTTCTGTGCGTGGGTTCCTAGTATCGTTCCCGCGGCCGCGTCTTGGGTAAGGTTGCTGTGCGACATAGTGCTGATGACGGCGCCGATGAGATCCCAGACTCGACCAATAGCGAATGCGTACCGACGAACGAGCTCCCGCTGCTTATTCTAGCAGCATAAAAACAGTGTATGAATAATTGAAACGAAGGCGCATCGAGCCAGCTAGTGGTGATGCGTGAAGAGACTCATCCACAACCTCCAACGTCGCGCCTTGGAGCTCGAGATGAGCTAGTCGCGGGCGCCCTTTCGCACTTTCCCGCCTTCATGGTGGCGATGATTAATCTAGCGGGAATAAACCCACAAGGCATAGCGGTGATAGCTGGGGAGAGAGTAACCGAGGCAGGCAGGTGCTGCAGCCGATATGCCGTTTACGGATGAAGTTTGCCCTCCATGAGGCAGCGAGATCGGCTGGAGCTAGCCGCTGTCGTTCGATGGCTTCATTGGGGGTTCGCAGAAAATGTAGAAGATGTCATTGGAGAAGAGAGATAAATGCACTGGAAATGCGCGAAAGGCAGACAAGGGAGGGGAAGGCGCTATGTTGCTAGCTGTGGAGCTAGGCAAGGGGCCGGGTAAATGCGATTGTACCTCACGCGTCGTCAAACCTCTCACCACCAGGCTTCTCTCAGCTATAGAGTCCACAACTCCATCATGCATCATCACGAAGCTCCCACAGACTTGCGCTCGATTACCATTGATGCGCTCAGGAGTAGAACATGCCTCCAATCTGCCGCTATCTACTTTTGTCGCGTCACAACACGCGCTTTACCAGCACGCGCGTCGGAACGTCTGGATGAGCTCTATCGACAATTCTGTTGTCGTCTGGACGTCTGAAAACAACCTAAACAACTCCTACCTTCACTTCAAGATGACAGACAGCTTCCAAGGTCGAAGAGCAGTAGTGATGCTACACTAACACACGTAGGTCGTTCTTTCCATTTGATGCAGGCCACGTCTCCATCATCCTTGTCATTTCAGCAGCGTTCCTCTCAGCCAATCTGGACTCATTCCTTCTCTTTTTGCGTTATCGCTTTTCGGAAGCAACACAGTTTCGTTCTTCTCTGTTACTTCCCACCTTTGCCATACATCCTCCACTTGTTTGATGCGTGGACAGAAGGAAGCAACTGCGGACGTCAAGACCGACCTGAAAGAAGCGCCCAGCATCATTAATCCTGGAAATCAATCGCCATGTCCATCATGGCCTCTTCTTTCGGAACTGGCGAGGCTGAGGGTTTCTCGTAGCGCCGTACAGTGCCTCAGTCACCCATTCGCTAGCCGGCATGTCTCCTCATGCAGACTCGTTCACCGGTGGCAAGGAGATTGGCCCGAGACTGCGCTTTGGTGTTCCACGACTTCTGGCAAGGCTCAATGTTCATCGTTCATCGCTCATCGTTGGGGAGGGCGTCTACGCGTTGCTGCCGCCTAACAAAACAATGCTTGGCGCCTAAGTCAACCCTGGTACCGCGCCCTCATCAAGCAGTCGCGTTTTCGACAACACCACCTGCCAACTCTTACAACATCGCAATACCCCACTTCCGTCGTATTGCGAATTCCCTCACTCGTTCTTGCCCCCGCCCGCTGCCTCGTTGCAGCAGGCACTCGAAACAGCCATGGCGTCCGCCGCGCGGCTGCCATTTCTTGAGCAGCAGTACTACCATATCGCGCTGCCCCGCAATGTACCTGGCCGCGAAGATGGCAACTTGCATCGCGTCGAGGAGGCTCTCTTGAAGCGTATGCTTGACGCCGTTGCAAGGCTCACCCCCAGTGTCGCTGCAGATGTTGCTCCGCACGTCCAAGGACTGCGGAAGACATTGCTCGCATGTCAAATACTCAATATTGATGGAACCATTGGCAAGGCGGCGCTGATGAAAGAGCTTCGCGACTTCAGCCATGGGAAAATGCTTGTTCTGCATATCGCACCTCAGAACTGCGCTTTGCTCGTGTATCCCTACGACACCTCCGGCGAGCGCAACATCATTTTCGAAGCATTCGAGACATCTGCAACAGCCGACAAGGTGCTTGCTGCCAAAGGCGCGCTACAATGGGACTGTAAGTAGCTGACATACATCGGTGTCGCGCATTTACTGATCTTGAACTTACCTGTAGTCCCCGGCTGCGCGGTATCCGTCCCAGCGTCGACTATCAACGAAGAAGCATTCCAGGAAGCTCTCGCCACCTTCATCGAACAAGCTAGCAGCGAGTCGGTCACAAAGTTTGCCGCTATCACTTGGAAGGCAGCCGCCACGATTCCGGAGATCCGAGACACGAGTGACCCCGCTCTCATATCTGGCTTATTGATGACTATACTGGAGGCCAATGGCGCTGCAGTTGCGGTTCCTCGTCTACGGAAGCGCGTGCGCGATACAGTTACCTTTGATAATGCTCGGACACCATGGAGGAGATCCGCTTTCTATCTGGTCCTTCGAGTAGCGGTCCAGCGTTACTTGTATCACCACTTGGGTGCAGAGGTCGGAAGACTCCACTACAAGACAATGATGTGTCTCCTGCATGCGCAGCTATTGGAAGATGTGTTGAAGAAGATACCTCTTGATGCAGCCTTCTCACTCCGCCAGAAGCTAGGTCGCCGCCTCGCCAAGCTTACATCCGATGTCCATGGTGCCGATAGGTCCGCCTTCAACAGACATTCTAATCTCTTACTGTCCTTGAGTGGTAGTTTCGAGTCCTCCCTGGCGACGACTGGTGGCTACTTGAAGCAAGTCTGGCGTAATTATAGCAAGTCGCGGGAGCGTATTATCCCAAAGCTACGCCAGTACGCCCATCCTCATGAGTTCCAACTTCGTTTGATGAACAGCGGTAGGTTCTTGAAAGGAGTGCTAGTGGAACACGCACATTCTCCACGACCTCAACAACGGACTGCTCCCGAGCTTCTGCAGCTTTTTGAGCGATCTGTCGCTTCTGTCAGACCCTATATGCGAGCTTTGGAAAGCCATGTCGCTTCGTCAAGACTCCTTGAGGATGTTGTACTTCCTGCCAAGCGTTCAAC